CAGCATATACAATAGTGTCTACATCAACATTCCTCGGCAGGTCATTTATCGAGATTAAAAACAAGAAGGGTCCCAAAACCGAGCCCTGTGGAACACCTACTTCAACCAATCTTAAGTTAGACTGACTGCCTCCAACAGATACATACTGCTTTCTATTAGTTAAATAGGATTTTAAAATTTTTAAAGTTTCACCTGTAATACCATAAAATTCAAGTTTTTTGAATAAAATATCAAAAGGTACAGAGTCAAAAGCTTTTGTAAGATCAAATAAAGTTAATGAAACAGTTTCTTTATTTTCAAATGCATTTAAAGATTTATTAATTACTTCTAAGACAGCTGCAGTTGTTGATTTACCCTCTCGAAATCCAAACTGTGAATTTGTCAATAAATTATTATTTTCAAAATATTCATTCATTTGTTTATGCATGAGACATTCAAAAATTTTGGAAAAGATTGGCACTATTGAAATAGGGCGATAATTACTAGGAAGATTTTTATCACCTTTTTTATATACTGGAATAATTTTAGAAATTTTGAGAAGGTCAGAGAAATAACCAATTTTCAAACATTTACTAATACAAAAAGCCAGAGGCTCACTTATAAAATGAATTATTTGTTTGATGCTATAATTTGAAAACCAGTAATGATCCATAGCTTTTGAATTTGAGAAATAAGCTACAACATTGTTAACCTCTTGCCATGATACCTCCCTCCATTGGAAATGTAATTGTCCTATAGGGGGAGTCCCCAGCAACTCATGCGCAGGTGTGTTGGTGAGAGGGATTTCATTTTCTAGCTCATTAACACATTCAATAAAATAGTTATTGAGATTGTCAGCATCCAAAACCTCCGACTTAGTTGATGTAGGAGAATATTCATGCGATATAACTTCCCAAGCAGCCTTGCACCTGTTGGGGGCCTTATCAATATATCTTTCAAAAGCTTGCTTTTTGGCTAATTTTATTTCACGATTGTAGGCCTTTTTACAATCAATATAGGTTCTATAGGCATTTTCCAAATTATTTGATTTATGTTTGAGTAAGCTCTTATAAACAGAAAAACAAAGAAGCATTTTTTCCCTAAGTTTCCTTAACTTTTCATTATACCAATTAAGTTTTCCTTTCTTATGTCTATTGTTTTGTTTGCACTTAACTAATGGGGAACTAAAATGCCACAAAGATACTAATCTCTTAAAAAATTCATCAAATAGTAATTGCTCATTTATTTTACCCATTTTATAGTCCATTATCATTTCCCATTTCTCTTGTACCAATTGATCAACAAAGTGTTTAATATTACTTTCATTTTGCCTTCGTATTATTTGTTTTGTTCCTTCTTTTGAGTTGTTACATTGTTTTATAGTTTTCTGTAAAAAATCTAATATTAAAGGTTCATGGTCTGCAAAACAACCTCCTACTGTATTTATGTTATATAAATCTGATGAAAAGTTTACAATTATATTATCTATGCATGATTTTCCTCTTGTAGGTTTTTTATTTGTACAAACTAAATTTAGACTTCGTAACAGATTGACAAATTCAATAGATGTCTTCTTTTCCATTTTTATCATTTCTATGTTAAAATCACCTGCAATGGCTACAAATTTAAATGACTTTATCAGCTTTTTCACAGCAAGCTCAAAATTTTCCAGAAACAAACCAATATCACCACTAGGGGATCTGTAAACACTTAAAACTATAAGATCATAATCAATTATTTTAATACAGCTAAATTCACAATGAAGCTCAATGCAAAATAAGCTAACATCTATTTTGGTGAAGGTTAACCCTTCTCTTAAAAATATTCCTACCCCACCATTTTTTATACTTTTCCTACACATGATATCTGCAGCAATAAAATCTTTAGGAACAAAGAATTCAACTTCCCGCTCCTCTAACCAATGTTCAGACAGACAAATTACATGCACTTGCTCTATGGCACAAAAGTGTTCTAATTCTAACATTTTGTTCCTAATAGACTGGATATTAACCTGTAAAATTTTTAAGTATTCTTGATTTTCATTGTTATTTGTTTTAGCATTATTATTTACAGTAAAATCAAAATCATCCATAATTGCAGCTACCGGTAATATGTTATTTATTTTGTTATTTCTAAAAAAACTTCATCGATTTGTTCACCTAACATAGTACTATTTACAGTGGTATTTTCTACATTAATTTGACATTTAGATTTACAGATTTCCTTAATATTTACACTTGGGCTGTAAATATTAAGGAAATCTGTAAATCTAAATGTCAAATTAATGTAGAAAATACCACTGTAAATAGTACTATGTTAGGTGAACAAATCGATGAAGTTTTTTTGAAGTTTTTGAAGCTTACTTGCTAATGATAAAATCACGATCAGCTGGATTGAAGTAAACAAAAATCAGCAGTAAATGCCTTCTAATGCTATTCTTATGGAGAACATTGTACGTTATATCTAATTTTGTGTTAAGATTTTGGGAATTTCACTACTTTTCCCGCCGTCACGGGATAAAGACCTTTAATTTGAGCCCTCTCACGTCGTTCTACGACTTCCCAGTCGCCCACAATTTTGACGCAAAGAATCGGCTTACGTAATTAATATATAGATTCCCATGAAACTGATGATTTACCCAGCACATTAAGGCCTTTATTCCAAGTATCTCAGTTCGTAAACCATACATACAATGTGACGATAAAATATCAACAAAATAGCATGTAGTTTTATGTAATCCTCACGACATTTCATTTGGTCCATTGACTTTAAATCCAATAATTGTAAAAATTATTGGAGCTTTGAAAAAAACTTCATATAAAATCCTTACACTAATAAAAGACGACGTCATGAGCGCGGGAAATGAGCTACAGCGGCTAGGGCATAGCCACATGAATACAGAACGGAATGAAGGAACTAGAACGGAGAACTGGCAACAGCGCACGCGAGAAGTAGGGGGGGCGCACACACCGCTCAAGCACTACAACGCATTAGTGGCATCCTGTCCACACACTGTTGATATATACCGATTTGTGGCATGGTGCCACAATTTAAAAACTGGAATGTTAGATGTTAAAATGGAGTGTTCATTAAAAATATCGATGCAGACATGTTTCTACCACCATCCTTCATCCACTGGTGGCCGCAGGTTGAAAGATGCCACAATTAGGTGTTTGCGAGTATTCGGTAAAACCCCGTATGTGTGTGTGTGTCTGTGTGTCTGGATGTGTACAGAGCTAGAGACCACACCTGTGGTCCGATTTCGATGAAATTTGGTATGTAGGTTCTAATCCATGGTATCTCCAGGCGTTTTTTTCATTTTTTTGAAATTTTGATTTTTAATGGGAATTTTCCCATAAAAACCCATAAAAAACCGGAAAAAACAGATTTTCTCGAAAACGGCCCGAACGATTTTGATAAAAATTTAGTATGTTGTAGCCCTTTAAATTCTGAATAAAATGGTACAAACCCCATATCTGTAAAAATTACGGTTCAAAAGTTATGGTCAAATATGTTATTTTCCCATAAAAACCCCATAAAACAACAAAAAATTGGATTTTAGAAAAACATCCGGTTTTGATTTAACATAGTATGTTATACTCCTTACAGTTTTGATAGTTTTTTTTTAATTTTTTGGAAATTTTTATTTTTAATGGGGGATTTTCCTATAAAAACCCCATAAAATAACGAAAAAATATGATTTTCCCAAAAATGGCCCGAACAATTTTGATAAAAATTTAGTATGTTATAGTCCTTTATATTCTGAACAAAATGGTACAAATCACATTTCTGTAAAAATTACGGTTCAAAAGTTATTGTAAATTATGTCATTTTACCATAAAACCCCCTTAAAATAACAGAAAAATCGGATTACCTCAAAATTGGCCCGAATGATTTTGAAAAAAAATTTAGCATGTTATAATCCTTTAAATTCTGAACAAAATTTTACAAATCTCATTTGCGTATACAGTTATCTACTCTCACCACTTACACATGATAAAGGTTTTTGACAATTTCATGATGTTTCATAAGTTTTTGACAAACTTATGGGAGAAAGTATGTGTCAGAATGCTGATACCGTTTATTTTCAATGTAAGTTTCATGTTATATGGAGATTTTTTCATTACAATTATCATGTAGTCTAGGCATATCTTAAATCTCATCAGGTAATTTCCTCTTTGTTAATTTAGTAAACTAAACCTTTGAAAAATCTTCGTAATCTAACCAAGGAAGGGCTTGTGATGATGAACCACAATCAACAGCTGAAGCAAAGGTTGATAGAGCTTTCTCATTATTTTAAGGTTTAGTGTTGGTTTCCATTAAAACCCAAGTTGAAACACTATCGATATAATAAAGAAACTAAATTGATTACTAATTTCCCTGTCAATCACTTGCAAGCATTCAATAGCTTCTCTTGTCACCGGTAACGTTTAAACGTCGTCTGCATCTAGCGATTTTATTTTATCTGATAGTAATCATAGAGTAGTAAATTAAGGAAATGAGAGCCAAAATGTGGATAACACTCATTTACTGGCCTCCATGTCCACACAGTGTTGTAATAGGGAATGAAACGGCTGCTACCAGCTGTATAAAGCCAAGAAAGTAGGCCTAATTTTTTTAGAAAATCTCAGTTTGAAAGAGGTTGTTTCACGTAAGGTTGAGGTTATGATAAAGATCACTATCTCAAACAATGCTAATGTAGCGAGAAAAGTAGCTAAAATTCCGCTACAACTACTTTAAAAATGTAGCTAGCTACAGCTAAAGCTACAAAATCATATAAGTAGCGAAGCTACAGCTAACGCTACAAAAAAAGTAGCACGCTACTGTAGCGTTGCTATACTGTAGCGTCGCTACTTGTAGAGCGCTACTTCCCAACACTGTAGATTCTCATATCAGTTTTTAAAAAAGGTGACAATTTCAAAAAGTGAAAACAAAACTGACATTAACCTCTTTATTAAAATTAAATAGCATATGCCCTCATTTGAGTTAAACCGTGGACAAAATTAACTGACACAACTTACTCATTTTATTTTTCATGAAGCACTTTTCAACCTTCTTGAAAGAATTTTTTTTTCTGGATCAACAAATAAGGAATCCTGAAAAAAACACACTTTTAATCTTAAATAATTGAACACAGCTACAGTGATTGATTTAGGCTACAGTTTTTGAAATTTTCTGCCTTAAACTGTCACAACAATGCTTTAAAGTACATAATTGTTTTTAGCTCTACAAGATGGTTGTAATGAGAATTGGACATTTTCAATTTGTAAAATCACATAATTTGATTACCCTAAAAACAACCCCAGGTTTTCGATGGTCCGCAGACCGCAAACTCATTCAACTTCATATCACCTTACACATTCAGGCCAAATTTCATCAAAATCAAACCAAATTACCTACTCGAGTTATCAAGTTCACAGACACACATGTACATTTCATGTTGTAAAGGATCTGATGATGGTATAACAATACTGTATACCGAAACGTGTAATCCTGTTGGATGTTCGAGGACCACTATCCACTATCCAGGCAGTCTGCAGGTATTGTAAAGCCTCGTTCACACGGGGCGAGTTTACACGCTTACTCGCTCGAAAGCTGGCGAGTTGGCGTCTAAAGTAGCGGCAGCGTCAACTTTTTCCAGAGCTTTTTTACAAGCAGCTTTTGAGTGAGTACATCGTTCACACTGAGCTATTTTACTAGCTGTGTGTAAAAAATCCGGCTTGTAGCTTGTAAACTTCCCCTTCTTATTTTGACACGTATATACATCCATACAAATTTTTACGAATTTGGTGTTTTTGATCTCTGGGGACATCAAAATTAAAAAGGATGAGAGTAGAATGAAGTGTGATTCCTTGTGTAGCCTTGTTACTGACTAAGACCAGCTGTTTCATTAGTCAGGATCATTTATTAAAAGCTCAAATGACCAAGGACAGCTGGTTTCAGTTTCAAACTATGCCACACTGTGCTTTTTGTTGCGCCAAGAACATCGTACTGGCGACTGACATCAAGCGTTTGATTCACAAAGGTGGCCTGCCACAGCCCACCCATTTTGCGCATGCCAAGGTTAATGTTTCCTTCCTTGCTGCACGGAAAGACAAAACTTGGTAATTTTGACTCCAATTGGACGTTTAAATTGTTTAGTTATCTTGAATGGTGGCCTACCGATGGTATATTATTGAATAGTATTGAATGATACCGTACCTTTGAATAGTGGGCTATCAATGCACGTTTAAAATCCCGGCATTCATTTTCGGACACCCTGACTTCTAAATACACATAGTGAGCATATATACTTAAAATATATTATTGATGGCCCATTCAGTCATGTGGTTGGGTTGGTCTTTTTACTCTTTTTGTTCCTATATTAACTTAATAGTATCTTCGGATATTGGAACAGAAATTGTATGGATCGTAAACATAAACAAATTAAGTTACTGGCCCGAAGGTAAACATGTATGTAATAATATTTAACCCTAGCAGTGGCCAATGTTAGAAGTGGGGAATGGCCAACCCATTTGGGCGATTTTGCAGACCTTTTTTTGAAAATTTGTAACAATTCAACCGTACAAGTAAACCTAGTCAACCTCATATTCATTTTGTTCGGAAAGAACCGGAGGATCTAGAAATAGTAATATAATAATGATTTAGATAGTGTATTTTTTCGGTAAAGTGAATAAAATATAAAAATCTTTTTTTTTTATTTCAAAAGCGGTTTCCGTATTTTTTTTTCTACGGATTTTTAATGGGAAATTCATTATATACATTTTGTAGACAATCTAATTCCCTATATAGAAAATATAACATGTTAAGAAAATATATTTTTTTAATAAGTTTTTGGGGCGAAATATAACAAACGGAGAACCGAAAAAATTAAAAACCGTACAGTGTTTAGTTTGTGTTGTAAAAAGTGATATAATATATGTGTATACTAATAATGATATATACATGTTTGTAAAGCTAATGAAGTAAGGAATCAAAAAAAGTCATAAAGTTGATGGTAAAAATATTTTTTATTTATAAATAAAATAATGTTTTTGTATTTTAACGATTTTGTGAGAAAAAAAATCATAGTATTTAGTAGGCCCTATAAAACTTTTGTACCAAATGTTTTTACTTCAACCCAACATAAACATCTTGTAGTGTATTTCAATTACCTACATAAAAATGTATAACATGTTGGGTAAAAATTTTTGTTTTTACGTGCTAGGGGCATAATAATAATATAAATAAACGGAAAACCTCAAAATACAACCAAAAGAAACTATCACAAGCTACATTTCTTCCTCTTAAAAATGAAATATTATATAATAATAACTTACACTGTAGGCCTATGTAATTTGTATTTTCCATACAGTCACCTGACGACGGTTGGCCATTTGTAAGAAATTTCAAAAACAGCTGTTTTCATAAAATCGTACCGGTTGCCCAATCAATATTTAGTTCTAAAATATCACTACCACAATGAAGATAAAATCAATGGCTATCCAGTGGTACCACCCGCAACATCCCAAGACGTAAATTACCCGAGCAGGGTAATGCCAAACAAGACGTGTTTTGCCAGTTCCCAAGGGTCGGCTGCTGCTAAAGTCGTGCCGCGCCAAAAATTCATTTGATTTCTAATCGTCGTGACATTGTTATATACCTGCTACAGGGTTTGTTTATGTAATAAAACGAAAGTTCAGAATGTGATCTTTCGAATGGTATATATATTATTCTCATCTGAGTTGATTATAAGTGTTTTTTTTTTTACCGTTAAAATAATTTCGGCCCATACCGTCACCAGACGACGGCTGGCCATTCTAAGCATCAACGTCAAACCGCCACCAGACGACGGTTGGCCACTGCTAGGGTTAAATGGAACTGTAAAAACACATTATAACCTAAACTTTACCTTCCTAATCTAACCTACCTTCAAAGGACTTAATGCAGTCACCAATTCACATACAGCACGACCTACCACCCTGACATGCCTAAATAAGAACTACAAGTAATTAGTCCACCAGTCCATCTATATCTCCATAATGTGACGAAATTCCTATTATAGAGAACATTAAGTTATTTGACTACAGAATCACTTGAAATGTTATCCATCCTATCTCGTTTATTGTAATGTTAAGCATGTTTTTACGGCGATATCTTGAGAAATATTTATCAGCGGTGAAAAATAATGGTATATTTGGATTCAGGAGGTAAAAAACTATAAAGTAAGATATCAAAATTAACAATTCGTTTGGAGGCACCTATACGGAATAAATACCAAAAAAAGACCAGTTAGTAGGCCTATTTGGCCTAGGCCTAGCCTTGAATCAATGAACCCTGTACTGCTGAAGTTGTGTCTTATATCAAAACGAAATATCAAATCATTATAAAATTCTTGATTACTTTGTATGTAAGGATCTCAAGATATGCCTGTATGTACTATTATAGAGCTTGATTATAGGCCTAGTCTTACCTGAATTTTCCTAGGATTGAGATAGTGACAGCGTATGATTCTATAGCTGGTTGGATACAAGATAAATACACACTTTGTGTTGATTCATATAACTTTGCCTAGTTCATACAGTCAGTAGTAAAGGGTAATTAATTCTTACAGTCCTTTCCTTTCCCTTTGACAGTTTAGATGACAGGAGAAAATTACGGACAGCTTACTAGTACTACAGTGACAGTGTTTGTGTACTGCTTTTTTTGTTATGTATTTTGTTTTGTTTAGTTGTCTCTTGTCTCTAGTTCGTCTGTTGAAGTCGAAGCGCAGCGAAAGTGAAGCAGTGAACTTGAACCACTTGAAGTGAAGCTGTCTCGATCACCGACCACAAAACAGACGCTCGCTATCCATCCCACAGAGCTAAAATTATAACTGGAGGTAGCACTGCCATGGCAGAAGTCTGTCAAAAGCGAGTCGCTGATTTTGTTAGGTTGGTATAGCAGTAAGTTTTCTTACCATATAGCAATAACATGGCTTCTTATAACTAGGTTGTATAGCAGTGAGTTTTTTTGTCATAGCAATAACATGGCTTCTTATGGACACCCACCTCACGCAAACATGGCGGCTGGCGACACGCATCTTTGACATTCAGTGCTACCTCCAGTTAGAATTATAGCTCAGTGATCCATCCCGATCCATCCACATTCATCTCTATAGCCCCGTTCACACGAGGCGAGTTAGTTTAAGCCCCGTTCACACGGGGCGAGTTTACAAGCTACACTCCGGCTTTTTAACACGCAGCTAGTAAAATAGCTCAGTGTGAACGACGTACTCGCTCAAAAGCTGCTTGTAAAAAAGATCTGGAAAAAGTTGACGCTGCCGCTACTTTACACGCCAACTCGCCAGCTTTTGAGCGAGTAGGTGTGTAAAGTAGCCCAGTGTGAACGCAGTTGCTTGTGCTTGTGCGCATGTTATGTACTCAAAGATGTTGGAGGATTTGGTTCAAGCCAGCTACTGAGCGAGTGGAAAAGCATCGTGTGAACGACTACAAGTGCTCTCGCCAACGTCTTTCTACACGTCTGCGAGTGGACAAGGTCCGTGTGAACGAATACAAGCACACTCGCCAACTCGCCGGCTTCTTACACGCTGGCGAGTAGCTTGTAAACTCGCACCGTGTGAACGAGGCTTTATGCTCGCTACACACATGATACTATATGGGAGCGTCGTGTAGGAGTGGTGGGAGCGCGTCAAGGGTCAAGGTGCCACCACGACAAATTGCCATCAAAAAGAAGAAGGTTTAATCCTATTTACTTCTCGTATTGTAAGAGTGGATGTCGCTCCTGAGCGCCCACCTCCTCCTTAGTTTTGACGAGGGTCTGATAGATAAAAAGATTATAAACTGTCATGAGGGATTCAGCCTTGCTCACAGTGATCCAGCCCCGGATCCAGGCACTTGGCCCCTGCTACTATTCTTATAGCCTTTTTTTTAGAAGTAGGACCCTCTCAACTCCAGGAGCGGCACCCCAAAGTCCTCCATATTATGTGATCGTGTTCTGGAAAAAGGCCACATTCACGCAGTCCTTAAACAATCTTTTGATACACAGTGCCTTAACTTACGAAGTAAGTGACCATTTACCTAGTCTTGCCAGTCGGCTACAATAGTCAATATGGCTGTTCCAATATCTAGCTTAAAGTCTAGGTAAATGCCTAAAAGCTTTACACTCGTCACCTCATGCTCAATTTTTCGGAGACTGAAAACGAAAACAATAGATTGGGTTTTATCTCGATTTAAAAAGAGATAGTTTGGCCGGAACCAGGTACAGTACATGCAACATTTAGAGATTGATTTAAAGCTAAGTTCAACTCGACAGCACTCTATAGCTTCGACAACCTGCGGAACGCCATGGGTTAGGTTTCTGATACTTGAGCTTTTACCATTTAGGGACACCAGCTGCCCACGCTCGGCCAGATAGAACCTCAGAAAGTCAAGGCTTTTTGCATTCAAGCCATGGAAACTTTAACCTTTTCTAATTAAATGTCAATGCCATGGTAAATAGTGTCAAAGGCCTTGCTGAAAAAATTTATCAATTTAATTTCAAATTTATCAATGTACCTCCAAACCTTTTTAAAGAGCTTAAAAAACTTGTATCAAATTGTTTTTGTGTGGTTATTGGTAAGGGAGAAAATTCAAAAAAATTGTAAATATAAAATTCTTATGTTATTCTTATGGAGAATATTGTAAAATGTTCTAGTTAGCTTGTTTAGGTAGGTACCTATGTTTTGACCAAACTTGGCAAATGTATTTATTTTATACTAGGCTATTAATATTTTACAAAGAATCACACTTTATTAGTTTTCTTGCCAAATACTCCCAATGCCAATGCATTGAAACTATTATGATGATGGAGGTGTAAGCTTAAGAGATTAATAAATTGTAGCAGTCTTATCATTAAATCATTCTGTGTATAGCTTATCAGTTAACAAATGATACTTGTGATGAATCACTCCCCTGTTCAGTGTAAGTAGTCAATATTTTTAGTTTGATCATTATTGTTTATTTGAACAAGATTAGCTCATATTGTATTTTAACCTGCTTGATGAAAATAATGCTCATTTTTTATTCTCTCTGTAAAGTCCCTTTTAAATAACAATTTGTACAGAACCTCTACGGAAGTATATAGTATAGATCTGAGAATAAATAATTAATAAATAAAAGGCTATTTTACCTTAATTCTGTTAGATGATTACGGGGGTTGAGACATAGCTGTCTTTGCTATGTTTGACATCTCCCACATTTGTGGCAAAATCAAGAACATTTCCCACTCATAGTGAGGATAAAACCTTATTGGCTTTGCTCCATGTTATCTTAGTAGCTTGGCGTTGAAGTTTCTATGATTGTTATATGGATACCTGTTTACCATGTGTTCCTACTACAGTACTACATAGCCTTGCTTGGATGCAGAGTGGTTGCCATAAGAACACCAGTACAGAGAAGTAAGGTAGGTACAGAGGTAAAACATTCAGTGATGTCTGGCACTAGTCACTGGTGTCTAGGGCATAGTCCAACACCACCTCCTAGCTCTCATGTACAGTACTACAAAACTCACGGTGGAGGAAGACACTATGCCCTGTGCGATAGGAATTTCTCCATGATTGCTGCTTGAGCTCTTCTTTGCTCGTCACAAGTATATTTCTGGCACAACCTACTAGAGCTAAAAGCACAAGGTACGTAGTCCCATAAGCATGTTTTCTTGTGTTCATATATAGCCTGGTTTGGTTTCAGAATGGTGGTGGGATGGTTTCTGTTCCTGATTGCTACGGTGGCCGCAGAACCTCCGGATGCTTGTGAGACAATGGACCCCAGTCATGGAGGAACTCCCCAGAAATCTCCCCCTCCCTACCAGTTCTACCTACACAGCGACGTTATTCCTAACCGTCTCTCTGCGCATTTTGCAATCAAATCTGCCAATCCAGATGTGCAGTTTTCTGGGTTTATGGTCCAGGCTAGGGATGACACTGGTAAACCAATCGGAGAGTTTGACACCGGCTGTGTGGACATTAGAGTCATGACTTGCTTTGGCGTGTTTGCTGTAAGTATTATACAAAGTAGTAAATTCCATAGCACAAAAATTAAATAAATAAGTAATTTGTTACGTTTGACTAGGGGGACTATGGTAAATACATCAAATATGGTGATAACACACATTTCCTATAAAAAGAAATGCGTCTGGAGGAAAATTCCGTAGTGTCATCTATTAGGGGTTAACAACATTGCAACTTGAAATATCCATAGCATCAATTTTAGGTAGGCTTTTGAAAGGAAACATCAAGCTATTGAAATGCTCAAATTTCAAAGCATCACACCTGCATGGTTTGTCACTTTAAGAATACCCCTTTGTAAGTTTGGCTTTAAAATTATTGAGTTCCTAATTTTGTATACTGTTTAGACCAATATGTGATTTAGATAAATTCAATTAGTAGTACATATTTTTTAACTTTTAGGCTACCTATTCAAAGTTAAAAAAATAGCTATTATAAATATATTGAATTGTGCTATACGTTGACAAAATACGATACAAACGGTCAACAGTATATCCTGTATGTAAGTTGTATTTGACGGTTTCGAGTTCTTTCACAGTGAACTTGTATTTGAGCTAGTGTGTTTAACACATGCACTTGCTAGGATTTTATTCTGTTTAAAAAAATTATTTATGAAACTAACGAGAGTGAAATAAGCATTTTTGATTTTTTAGAATACTGCCATACACCTTGATTCTGAGCCTAAAACAGAAGCTCATATGCGCTGGCTTCCGGATATTGACTTTGTTGGCAACGTCACCTTTTTGTGAGTACAAAAATATTGTGTGTGTGCAACAATTTCAAGATTAACTAATTGAACAAAATTAAATCATAACATAATAAACAGTGAGCCTGGATTGTATAACCTTCACAAAATAGGTTATTATAATCACTTGAAAAGTTTCAATAAATTTTCATTTTAATCTCTACCTAGTCTACTACCAATTTTCTCTCAAATAATTTGAGTTGCTTCTACTAAAATTCTCACTAGCGTAAATAAAAAAAAACATTAATTTTTATTTATTTATTTATAGCACTACAGTTGCCCAATCCAGGCAAGTTTACTGGGTCCGTCATCCTGCAAGAAAACTACAAGTAATTCAAGAAGACTCACCAAGACGGCAAACACCAACCACAAATCCCACACAGCCTTAGTTACGTTGTTATAAACATCAAACTCAACAGCACCCAAAGATTTAAATCAATAATTAAACTAATGCACTACTTTTTATGTAATGTACTAAGAAATCAATTATGGAAAACAGGCAAAAACTGTCAAAAATTAAATCCATTGTTATATTCCCTAAGTTGTAAGTTTTGTAAGCTAACATATTTTTTTATATTTGTACAACTTTAACCAGATTGTTCACCTTTTACATGACGTCTTAAAATGTGAAATGTAATGTTCATTAAAGTAGGAATTTTTAATTACTTTAGTGATGTGTGTTTGTATTTGCCTTTTCACATTGAAAATCTAATTTATCACAGGCCTAAATTAATTTATATCCAACATATTTTGTTGTTTGTTTAATAATTCTTTTTTTTATTACCCTATACCAACTTAAACAAAATTTTTTACTGAAAATAAACGGTAACAGCAATCTGAAACATGCTTTTTCCCATTAGCTTGGCAACAACCTTTAATATGAGTAAGCGGAGGGAGTGACTATAATTTATAAGGGAAATCACAAAAGTTGCAACAACTTTTGAACTGTAATTTTTACAGCAATTGGGGTGTTGCAATATTTTGTTTAAAATGATAAGGACCATACAAATTTTCATCAAACCTTAATTAATTTTTTTTATTAAAATTGTTTGGGCCATTTTTGAGAAAATCTGATTTTCTCTTTTAATTTATGGGTTTATTTTATATAGTGATGTAGGAGTATTGTTCGTTCATGTATAAGTCAAATACTAACTCACTAACTGTATACTTTTATGAAATTGATTTCACATCCAGTTTATTTAAAGGTAGGCCCTGCATTTCTGGTTAATTAATATTATTGAAGTACAATAGGTTATTAGGTTACCGTTACCAGTTTAAATGCAATTTGTTTTCGTAAGCTGTTTTAGTTATTTGGCTTTCTATTATTCCTTATTAACATAGATATTTTATAGAATATTATCATTTTTTAGTTAGTGTTATTTCCAGGGTAGACCCATTTACAGACATTTTTATTAGGTTAAATAAAATAGCAGCCATACACTCCTTTCACACTATACGTTTTTGCTCGTGCGGTTATTAGTCGTATTTGTTGTATCGCATTGGAGCTTATAGCCCCTTTCACATTATACGATTACCAACCGTGTACGATTTTCACCCGTAGGTGCACCGTAGCGACCGTAGGTGCACCGTAGCGACCGTAGGTGCACACGGTTGGTATCCGACTCCCGCACGAGTCGTGCTACTGCTAGTGGACCATGTGACCATATGGGCCTTTTCACACTACACGGTTGTTAGTCGTGCGGGAGCCCTCCTCGAGTGCAGTTCGCCGCGTTTTTGCTATATAGTTTTTATTTCGTTTTTCAGTTTAATTGTTTGGTTATTGAGTTTAATTACCTGTGCGCACTGTATAGTATTCAGTTGTTGTAATTAGTTTCAGTTGTCTTAATATAGTTCAAATGGATGCAATAGACCTTGAAGTTTTAATTTCACTTGTTGAATCAAATGTTTAGTTTTATGGGTTAAAACATTGGACGTTTACAAAGATAGAATTGCTACAAGAAAAGCCTGGGAAGAAGTGTGCATACGACATAAGAAAATAGTTAAAAAACTTGGCTTCATCGTTCCTCAAATCTTCGAATAATGTATTAAACACACCCACTTCCTCACGTTTTACATTTATGGGATGTACCCAGTGCAGACGGCCGCGTTTATTTCTTTTCCTGCGTCTGTAAATAATTAGCGCAGCAATAATTTTCTCCCGATCCATACTCCACAAAACTTTCCACTGAAGTATCAATGAACTCTGTACTGGTGGAGTGGGGGGTTTCGATTTATTACTCGTACGATTACAAATCGTATAGTGTGAAAGCAATAGACCCACGACCGTCTGCCCGCACGATTAACACTCGTACGAGCGAAAACGTATAGTGTGAAAGGAGCGTTAGAAACAAGTTTAAATAAATATAAATTGTATGTGTGTTTGTATTACAAATTTAAGCCTTATTTTGTTTATCCATTGACAAACGTGAATGATGGTAGGCTTTTGTTAATTTATAAAAATAAGCAGTTCCCTCCCACCACATATGAACATCAGCTGCTACTGATAGGAGGAATATAAAGACACTGTTCCGATAAATGATGACAATCATTTAAAAAACAATTACAATGTAACAATAAAAAAGTGGCTATAAAACCTGAAACTAGCCTAACACATGACCCTGACATACACTATTAAACTAAGTAGTTTGTTGCGATATGGTATATGGCCAATCTTTGTCTCAAATACCAATGAAAAGATTATGTAAAGAGGAATAGTAATGGCAACGGAAAAGTGCCTGTGCAGCCTTAAAACAGGGTCCAAATACTTAAATAGCATCACCCTGGGTGGACATCCAGAGAGTGAAATTTTGTTTCAAGGAAATACAACGTGACTTTGCACATGACTTCGTTTGGGACAAAACAAATTGTTGAAGGCGGCATCTTGCCTATTTTCTAAGTGCTTGGGCATTCAATTGGTTATTTATTTCTATCCTCCAATGATGATCCCTAAGGTTTACAGCTATATTTCACAAGTAATGCATTTATTTCACAATTTTAAAGTTTACCGAACCAAGTGTGGGCAAAACAGCTACCGTAACTTAAACTTAAAAGGGTAATTTAAAGACATGTTCAAAATAAATCATTCTATATTGAGCTACAGACACAAAATATCGGAATTCCAACTAGGCAAGCTTTATTTTCAAAATATACACTTTCATACACCTTACAGTTGGAATAACAAGTTCAACGATCAAGGCCTAGAAATACAATCCTTTTCTGCACAGCTTTAACGAGTAACAAATGCAAGAATGTACTTAGATGCAAAGACTCTTTGGAACTTACTTATAGCTAGAGAAGGAACTTGCGCAAGAAAAAAAAGCTCAAGCAAACAATCAATATTTAAATCAAATGTTCCTCTGTCACTATTCGAAAATATTCAAATTAAAGCCCTATGCATTTTACAATTATTGTATTTTTCCTGATTTTGGTGCTATAAAAATAAATTTATAGACAAATTTACAAACCATCAAGAATATTTTTTTGTAACAACATTCACATTTGTACAAGCAGACACATTCTAAGACCTGAGAGCAGAATTTTCAAGACATAAAGACCCAAGAATGTAAGTAAGAATGTCTGACTTCAGCAACAATACATTAAATGTAAACTCAAGCAGTTTAAATATTTGGTATAAGTTATACCTACATAGAATATTGTGATCATACCTACTTAAATTCTAGTTAATGAACAGGTGTTAAGCATTTACAAGGTTCAAGTCTAACAGCTTTAGGTTTAACATTTATCCATTAACAGATATAAATATTGAATAATACAACTGAAGAAACAAAACTCACTTTGAGGATAAATTGATGTCAAAATTCAAATCAAAGGAATTAAACGACAACTATTGATACTATACTATCCTTACACAATTTACAAACAAAATTATCATTTGATAATGTGTTTAGTTGAAAATAAATACCTTATCACTGATGTTTTTAACTCAGCCTGTAATGCCAAAAACATTCAAAAGAAGAATACTAAAGAGAAATAAGAGTCTAAAGACATTGAATGATCTGACTACGTGGAGAGGTTGTTTAGATTAGTCAACGCCATCATCAACTACGGTGGCAGTAGAGGCAGTTGATTGCGCCATGAATCTCTGCAAAAAATATGAGCATTTTTATATAAATACAACTATTTTCCATAATATATAGAAGTAAAATTTTGTATTTTTACAGTTATCATGGTAAGTTTAGTTGCAGGTGCTTTACATAATCACTTTCAATTGTGAAGCCTTCAGAAGCCATATACTGTACATGTGTACCTATGCCTATACGTAAGATGACACTCAAAACTAGAGGTTTTTGAGACACTAGTGTTCCTGTTGCTCGAATTCGAGCAATTTCTAAGTATTACTGGCGTTATTTTAAAACGAATAAGTCATAATTTTTTATGACTTTAAAAGGTTCAACTCAAAGATTATGGAAATACTCAAGATGTACCTAACAGATCGATATAATCAACATTTCTTGTAAAATCTTATCATTTTTTAAAGCTGATCTTGTTTTTTAGCGTTTTCTACAAATAGCCTTACTCATAGCCGCATTAGGTTGTCCATAATAACGATTATAAATTTTTAAAAAAAACATGATTTATATTTCTTCTCCTTGGTGGTGTTCTATGACTTTCCTATGTTACCATAGTTTGCAAATCGGCTCTTTCAATGATTACTAAGAAATGCAGCACAGTGTTAATTGAGTTTTCCTTTTAGTATATCAATTTATCCATCAGGCTCTCTAGCTTTTTTCCATTGTAATATTTACGCCAACGCAAATTTAAATAGTAAATATTTCATTTCTACCAAGTCAGTAAATGTTTGTAGCAAACTGTTAAATTAGCAAACTTATGGTCTGTTTACAATAAACATATGTTCTTCTTCTCACTTTTAATTTCTGACAACAGATGGAGTTTTATAATAATTTTTGTTTCCCTTGTTAATCTTATGGAGAAATACAAAACTTTATAGGGCCCCAGGGCCTCACTCTCAAATTATTTCCCTAGAAAGAAAGTTTCCTGCACAACTTCACGTTACGCTCTTTCTAACGACACCAAAAACATGTCAATCGGTTCAGTAGTTTCGGAGGAGTAATTGTCACAAAAAACCTGCTTGCGTATTAAACAAGTATATAGATAGATTCTTATGCTTAAGAAATTTGAAACCGTTAAAACAATTGTTTTTACTTTTTGGTCCTAACTTTCTTTGGTAAAAATAATTTTTTGGTTTTTTCAATATTAACGTGAGTTAATATTTCACGGTCATCCCAAATACGTTGATTTGTTTCACGCAAAAGCCCCAACTAACGTCATATGGAGAGGATGACCATAGTTCTCAACCCCGACGCCAGGGATCTATATCAAAGGGTCGCCATAGAACTCCTTGAAATACATTAAAACATTTTCCCAGTTTTCCTGGAAGCAAAATCTGGTATTCCCGTTACCTAGTGCACGTTTTTACTAAGAGTCTGCGGGACCCTGATATTTTAAGATTGGGTCGGGTTAACAGTTGGCCGGAGTATCAGTACGGATCAAGCTCGGGTCGAGTCAAATACATAATTCCGCAACCACGGAATGTATTTCTGAAGGAGCATGATCAAAAATTCACAATTTTGCCAAGCTTGTGGGAGACGATCACTGTGACAACAAAAGACTTTTAGTTTTTTGCCCAAAGTCTAATATGTTCACGACTTTACTGTGACCAATATGGTCACGATTTCAAAGTAGAGGTGGGCATTATGAAAAACGTAGTAGGATAAATAATACTATTACTGAAGATTCACCTATTAATTTGGTAATAGATTACTGAGAATACCCTATTATTTTTGTAACATCTTCTGAGCTTTTAGAACAAGCTAGTAAAGAAATGCTCATCATGTACCTATAGTGAGCGCTTAGTAACAGTTTATTGATAATAAAGTCTGAATAGTCATACGTTCAGTATCATTGATGTCCAATTGCTTTTATGGCAATTAATGGTTTATTAATTTCTTCAATTAAATATAAAATTTTTAGTGATGGTGGATAATACTATTATTTTTGTAACATCCGAGCAAGTGAAATAACGCTGCCATAATCCTATTAATTAATAACTAGAGCTATGTAATAGTTTGTTTTTGTAACAAGTGAAATAACGATCCTATAACCCTATTTATTAATAGCGAGCCTCACAAAATAATATATACCTTAGGTAATAGCTTACTGAGATGGACTCATTATTTTTTTCTGTGGTTGGGGGATTAATGACAGTGCATTGCCACTGATACAATGAAATGTCAAGTAATAAAACTAGACCAAAAAGACCAAGGGAGCCGCGCTCCTAATGAGTAATTGATTGGATCGTTGAATGTAAACAGTGTCTTGCTGGCTTCCTTTGTTGATGTTAGTGTCTGTCCAGTACAAGTACTCTTCACTATGTGTTTTGATAAATAACAATATGATTGACAAAACGATTTCATTACATGCAGACAATTTTATTAACAGTCTCGCAGTTAATAATTATATTCTATTTTCGTTCTTATGACGAACAGATAATGTAAAAATTATAAGGGCTTAATAAGCTTGTAAAAGGAAGTAAATTAACAAAAGAAAGCCCTACGATAGAGAGGGAACGACCGGCTGAAATGTACTGGCAGGGGAAATAATAGGTGACAAAAATAGTAGTATTATCTCACCTATTACCACCTATTACCGAAAAGCTATAAACATCCCTGACTATTACTGAAAAGTAAGGGTATTTCTCAACTCTATTTCAATGTGACGCAGAAGATTAAGATGTGGCCTCGGAAGATGTTCTCGATTTTACAGTAGCCAAAATACGTTCAAGATTTCAAAGTAACCGCAGATGGTGTTCATGATTTTTACATAACCTCGGAATATGTTCTTGATTTTACTGTGACTTTGGAAGACGTTAAAAATTTCACTGTGACAACAGACAATGTTCACGACTTTTCTGGGACTGAAGAAGAGGTTCATATTGTCACTGTAATAACAGACAATATTCACGATGTAACTGAGACCGCAGAAGATATTCTTGATTGTACCGTGACAATGGAAGATATTCTCAAATTCGCAGTGAACGCAGAATAATCTTTAAATAGTTTTCCCAGTAAAATTTCAAAATTCCTACATAATTCCCGATACAACAAATTAACGATTCCCAGTAAAATTTCAAAATTCCCACATAATTCCCGATACAACAAATTAATTATTCCTGGTTTACTTAAATCTCAGTCTGTGGCCACCCTTAGACCAGTGTAATAAATTAGTCAATTAATTATTTATGACTGCAGCGACTACTTAGGTAAGTATTTTGAACTGATTATAAATGGCCTGTTCAATTTGCTGTGTCTCCTACCTGGCCGGCAGCCGGTAGTCTGAGCAGCAACAGCTGGAACACATGCGGAGGAAGCGTCTGCTGCAATACTTGCAACAGCTGATTAGGCTGGCCACAGACTGCGACTGCGTTGCTCAGGTGTTCAACTCCCCCTTCTTCGTCCCCAGCTCCCAGCAACTCCTCTCCCTTCTGAACCTGCATCAAACATGCACAGTTGTTACTAACTGAACAAACACAGTAAACTTCCTCTAATTCGACACGTCTTTCAAACTAAAGCTATTCTTTGGAGTTAGGCTATGTAGAACTTAACATTTTGTTGGATTTTATGTAAACTAAAAAGCAAATTAATGTTTGAGGTATACGAGATGGTTCTACTATGAATCAAACTTCCATGAATCTAGTAGATTTAAATCTTGCTGAGTTGTATAATAAACGTTTAAGCATACAGCAAGTCAATTATTGTTTTATTTAGATTTTAACTTATAATCATCCTATGATTTGAAATAATTATTAATCTAACATGTACCTAATCCTCACCCTAGATTATGTCGGTGTGGAGAAACTTAGGTTACCGGTAAAGTAATTTTTAGATTTAGTTAAGAAATTAAACTAAAATAATTATTATTCTGCTTGAATCTATAATATTGGCATAGGCTACTTAAAACGTTTTAGGGGTCTTAGAAAATATTATAATGTAAAGAGAGATTTCCCAAAAAGGAAGGAGGTGTGTAAGCCTAAATTATAATAAAGAACAGGGGTCAAAAGCGTAGCTTTGGAAGAACTGGCTATAATTCATGTTTTTAAAAGCTTTCAATAACAGTGTGAAAAGTCGTGTGTCATTAAATATTATCCAGGCCTATACTGTATAAAAAACTGAAACATTACCTTGAACAAAATTTATTTTATCGATGAATTTATTTAGGAGTGAAAATTTTATAATACCGTAATAACTATTATTGAATGAATGCATATTTAAAACCCCAAACATATTATATTTGTTTACTTTACTAGGCCATGGAGTATCTAGACAATGGTCAAGAAAATAAACCACTAAGTTACAAGTTCAAGTTTTAAAGTTTACTTACCTCCTGAAGGAAAAACATTTGCACCGCTTCGTGATCTTTGAGATCAGGAATTTTTGTTTTGCCATTCTTTGCATTCAATGCAGCTTCTCTTTTCGCTGTTCTTCCTGTAACCAGTTATTGTTATAGTTTATGCATAAGCTTAATATAATGAAAATCAAGCAAGATCTTGCTGATTTATATGAGGTGAGTTATATCCAATAATAAGAAAGAAGAGGACTCAAAAGAGATTTGCGCACACACGTTCCAGCAAGATGCCCCAAATACCGAGCCAAGCACCCCTCATGGTTCTCTCACAAAATGAAATTAATGATAAAAAATGAAGAAAAACTTTGCAACCGTTTAAAAAAATATCATATGAATCATCTTCGAGATCAGTTCAAATAATTACATTCTGAAAAAAATGCAATAAAAACTGATTATGATGCATATATCACAAATATAAAATTAACTTGTCTAATAACCCACAATCATTTTGGGGTGTTATAAAGAAGTTGAGAGCAAGTGATAAAGGTCCAGGATGCAACATGAAGATAAGGAAATTGAGGGAAATGATAAGATAGATGAGGTTCTGGCTAATTACTTTCAATCTGTTTACCAACCCAACCTTGTAAGCCAAGGCGCTCTGCTCAAAAGTTTTTGAGGATATAAATTCATTGATAATCTGAGATTGTTGAAGTAGAAGTTTTAAAGCTTTGAAAAAACTAAAATAAAAAACATCATTAGGTGCAGATAACATTTCTCCTTATTTATTAATGTTTAAAAAATCTTGTATGGGGTTTAAAAATCTTGTGCTGATGTTTAAGTGAAACCACTTCACTTAATTTTCAATCTCTCATTGAAGAATAACTGTTTTCCAGACATTTTGGAAGATTGTAAAAGTACAGTAGTAGTAGCAATTCCAAAAAAAGTGTTCAAAATTATATAAGAAAATTGCAGTTATATCTTCTCCAGCTATGATCTTTGAGAGAATGTTCCTACAACAGATTGCTCGGACATGTATCAAGTATCATCACTCCTCATCAACTTGGGAGGTTTTCCTGGTCCATCAATTAATTCAAATATAATACATTTTTTCAGTAACTTACATTATAAATTCTATTGATCAGAACATTAAAGGTTGATTGTGTGTACGCCGATTAAAAAAAAACATTTGATAGAGTTAATCACTTAGTGTTTCTGTCTAAGCTTCATTACTATAGTCTATATGAAAACAAATTGTAGGCCTACCCCAAGTTTCAAATTTAGGGCCTTAACTATTCATAGTCTGTATAAATTATATAACCAGAAATGTAAAACATAGTAAAATTTTGATGTACGCTGAGTCGCTGACTATTTAAAAATTTAAAAAATATTATCAACATCTTGGATTTTTAACAGCTAGCCTACAAACTGATATTGATGAACTAATTGCTTGGAGTAAAAACAATACATTAATTATTTCATGTTAAAAATTTGCTGTTATAGCCAAACTATTGTGAACTTTCCTTATAAAATGTATGTGTGAATCGGATGGGTGTTGTCTTATGTAGAAAGTCAGTGTTTAAAGATCTTGGTGTTATTTTTTATGGTAAATTTCTATTTGCACAACATGTGATTGATATGATGAATATTATATGTCTTTGTTTTAACAGTCCATATATGTAATCCCATCATATGTTAATTCTCATTGTTGCATTCATTCATCACAAATCACCTCTCTACAAACATGTAGGCCTACCCTCTTTCTCTCTCATAAATTAAACTTCTTTATACCAAAACCGTGTATTTTTCCTCTTATATTATAGGCCCTAACTACACCGCTCATTTTTGGTCCTCTCGAGCTGCGGATTAGGCTATATGAACATTATTGTGACTTTTTCTCAAGAAGTTTATTTAAATGGCTTGGTTAACATATTACATCCAACGTGAAGCCGCCATGCCAAGGACAATACCGCATTGTCATAGTACGTGGATTAGCCGTCCGGCAGTTACTGTCATAACCTAACCAACCAAATTTGCTGATAATGAAAATATCTAATGAAGGTTAAATTCATCTGTTCATTAAACAAAATAATAAATGCTTTGGCATTTATAAATTACCGTATGTATTTATTATTTTAAAATTATTGGCATTTATGCTTTAGAATTTTTGAACTATAACAAAAGAGGTAGGCCTACAGTTAAGAAGAAATGGCATTCAAAGCAAAATCTTTGACAAAAAGTTAACTTAAAGTTTCCGTTGGGATTCGAACCAGGGACCTTTTGCATATCAGCCGAGCACTCTATCCAATACACCACGAACACCGATGGCTATAGAACGTATTGTTGTGGTAATGGCGTTCCGGGCCCCCACAACCCAGCGATGTCACTGCCGGACCCCTAATCCACATCCGGTTACCATCCGTGTATCTTCTGTGTATTTGAATAGGCCTAGCTATTTAATTGAAAATCAGGTCAAATCAGGCAAATGGAAATTCGCTTAGTCTGCAGGTTTGCTGTGGTGGGGGTATTTAGCTAATTATCAATTAAAAAATAAACTGTTAAGTTAAAAACCTAACCTAAATAACCAAACTTTCTGATGATGAAAAACACAAATGAAGGTTTAACTTATAATCGAATAGATAGGCTAGGGAGACGGACAACGGCCCAGATCTTTGTTTGGGTTGATCCCCTGATTGATGGCCTGAGGGTAGTGGTCACCGGAGGAGGGGTGGGGAATCGAGAATTCTGAATCCCACCGAAGGCGTTAAACTTTTTGTCAAAGATTTCGCTTAGAATGTGATTACTTCTTAACTGTACATCTTTTGTTAGAATTTATAATTTTATGATCAGAACTATTTTTGATTAGGAAACCTTTATTCGATTTTTTCATAATCAGCAAGTTTGGTTGGTTTGTTTAGGTTATGATAGTTTAATTTTATAATTACAAAATTAAAAATAGCCTAGAATTTTAGGCATATGTAATTTTACTTTATGTAAGTTTTACAGAACTATTTTTTTTATTAGTAAACCTTCATTCGTTTTTTCATTATCAGCAAGTTTGGTTAGTTCGGTTAGGTTATGATAGTTAAATTTAATTTAATTAAAGTTACCCTACAAACGATACGTTTGACAAGACAGGGACGGTGATAGAGCTAACAATTTGCCGCAAACAGTTCGGCTATGCACGGTATGATGCGAAGCGTTCGACACCAACCTAGAACTGACAGGTCAACCGACCGTGATTAAGAGGATTACAGCCTCAGTCAAGTGCCTACACCCGATAGGCTAGGCCTATTCTCAATCGATATTAGGGTAGCCCACAATACTGAAACTGTAGGTAAGTAGGCTCAGTGGCGGTTCCAAGGTGGGGGCTACAGGGGCTAAAGCCCCCCCCCCCCCTTGGACCATGGAAAAATAAATTTAAACGCACATTTCATCCTTAAAATACGCAATCCCATAAAACAGACATCAATGTAATTTTTATTTAACTTAAAAGCGATGGCAGGAGTAGTATTAAGTCCCACATAGATAAACTTTGTGGACACTATCATAACGAATAAAATAATATTACGCTATGGAAAGTTGTAAGCATCATCAAATTTTTACAGCAGTCAGCTGTTGACATGCTAGGGCAAAGGCAAGCGCCGAGCGCGCGAGTGAGGACGGGGAAACAGCTGATTTCCTGATGTTCCATAGTTAGTTTTGTCAAATTGTCTGCTTGTCACTAACTTTACACAGGCATCAATCAGCCATCAGCGGTAGCACCTGTAGCCTATTACCATTGACTATATATATAAACACTAGTGTTAAAGTTTATATAGTCAATGCTATTACTGAATTTGATACTATACATATTGTGACAGATCTATGAAATGGAGAAAAACGTAAAGTTAAAAAACGTGTGTACTTGCTTGCATGACATATATAACAGGTGAAATGGGAGGTTTTATGACAATTTGGCACAGTTCTAGCCGTTAGAAATGGCTTTATAAAGTCACTAAACGGCTTTTAGGAGATGGATTCGTAGTCTAGGCCTACAGTAGGCCTATGTTGTGAAATTCATGAATGCAAGTTCGTCATAGTTTGAGTTTAAAATGTCTACTTGCTCATGACAAAGACAAATAACAGGTGAAATGAGAGGTTTTTGGACAGTTGGACACAGATATAGACATTAATAATGGCTTTAGAAAGTCAGTAAACAGTTTTTATAGGAGGATATGGCCGTAGCCTACAATATGTTTTGAGATTTATGAATGTAATGGTCATAATTAGTTTTAAAAATGTCTACTTATTCATGACAAATAAATAGGGAAATGGGAGGTTTTGCAAATAGTTCTAGACTTTAAAACTGGCTGTAGAAATTTAGGAGGGTATGGCCAAAGTCTACAGTGTGTTTTGAAATTCATGAATGCAATCGTCATAGTTTAATTTTTAAATGTCTATTTGCTCATGACAAACAACAAGTGAAATGGGAATTTATGGACAATTGGGCACGGTTTGAGGTGTTAAAAATGGCTTTAGAAAGTCATCAAACGGCTTTGAAAATTCCAAATTTTCTTGACAAGGTCCTAGAACCGCCACTGAGTAGTCTACCATAAAAATTTAAGACACCTATGCTAAGTTAGACATTTAACCCTCGAGCTGGCATGCGCCCGATATCGGGCGATTTACGCCGCGGCTGAAATGGCAGCGCCCGAAGTCACGGAAATCGCCGATTTTAGCACGAAAATTAAACTAATATCACTTAATATAGTATTTATTCGGTTCAGAAATGAATAATCTATCGATTGATGTGCATTTCAACTATTTGGTTGCCTTTGGGAAAACGGTAATTATATCGACCTCCGGACCTCACGCGAAATTAAAAATTTTTTTTTTTCAAAATGGTCGAAATTTCACGCTGATTTCAAAAATGATTGTCGGTTTTTTCGGAAACGTCCCGTTTTCCCGGAAAATGGGAAAAACGGGAAAAATATTTTTTGCTCAAAACCCATGTTGTGGGTACTCAAATTGTGCGGAATTTCATCCTGAACAAGAATATGTAGTCGATCGCTTTTAAGTAAAACATCACCGGACAGGTGAACTAACCTAACATAGCCTAACTTAGGTTTAGGTTAGGTTAGGTTAAGTTAGGTTAGGTTAGGTTGGTTTAGGTTAGGTTGAGTTCCTAGGTTAGTTTTGGTTAGGTTAGGTTTGGTTGGGTTAGGTTAGGTTAAGTTAGGTTAGGTTGAGTTTTGTTAAGTTAGGTCAGGTTAAGTTAGGTTGGGTTAGGTTAATTTACTTACAATACTCATGTTATTGATATACTAACCCAACCTAACCTAACTTACGTACTTAGGTTAGGTAAGGTTAGGTTAAGTTTGGTTAGGTTAGGTTAGCTTAGGTTAGTTTAGGTTAGTTTACTAGCCTAACCTAAACTAACCTATCCTAAACTAACCGAAGTTTGTAAGTTAGGTTAGGTTGGGTTAGTTTGTCAATAACATGAGTATTGTAAGTAAACTAACCTAACCCAACCAAACCTAACCTAACCTAACCAAACTTAACCTAACCTAACCAAACTTAACCTAACCTAACCTATCAAAACTCAATCTAACCTAAACCTAACTTAACCCAACCTAACCTAACTTAACCTAAACCTAAGTTAGGTTATGTTAGGTTAGTTCACCTGTCCGGTGATGTTTTACTTAAAAGCGATCGACTACATATTCTTGTTCAGGATGAAATTCCGCACAATTTGAGTACCCACAACATGGGTTTTGAGCAAAAAAAATTCCCCATGTTCCCGTTTTTCTGTGATATTTTACTTAATAGTGGTCCGATCGTAATACAGTTTACATATTCTTGTTCAGGAGGAAATTCCGCATAATTTGAGTACCCACAACATGGGTTTTGAGCAAAAAATATTTTTCCCGTTTTTCCCATTTTCCGGGAAAACGGGACGTTTCCGACAAAAAACGACAATCATTTTTGAAATCAGCGTGAAATTTCGACCATTTTGAAAAAAAAAATTTTAATTTCGCGTGAGGTCCGGAGGTCGATATAATTACCGGGAAAACTTAAAACTCTATGAAAATAACGCATCAGCTGACGACATTGTCATAATGTCATAATGACGCAATCGCTTGTTACCGGCGTCTGTTCTGTTGTTGTTGTTGTTTATTTCGCGTTGTGTTTGGTTAATTTCGGTGTTACAAGTTTAATTTTTTATTGAAATGTGAGTTTATTTCACTTCAAGATGTCTGATCGTAACTACCGTGACCGATCTAGTGAATTACGAGAGTTGATCTATGACCCAATTCTAAGTGGCGAGGAGACTAGTGATAGTGAACCTGACGAAAATACTCCAAGTGACAATCCCCTAACTTCTAGTGATGATGAACCTATGTTCATAACCGACTTTTCTTCTGGTAGCTCGGATAACTATGTGCCCAATGAGGAGGAAATATCAGATTGGACTAGGGAACATGATACAGATTTCGAACCTCAGGTAAGAAATGAAGAGCCAGTTAGGCCTGACTCACCTATTGTGCCTGGCCTAGTCCTAATGAACCTGCTGTGCCTGCTGACAATATGTTGCCTAATATTCCTAGGCCTTTACCAATTTCTAATGACCCAAGATGGGTGTTAGTTTACCCCCCCAGAAGAAGAAAAGGTTGCAGACTTTTTGGTAAGGGAGGGATGCACTGGAATTCAGAACTGTCCCCCGCGTAACTCTACACCTTTAGCTTATTTATTTTTATTTTTTACTCAGACCATATGGAGGATGATTGTACGTGAAACTAATAAGTATGCTGCAATAAACATTGAAAATGCTATTGATTCAGGAAGGATGCGTAGGCACAGACGATTGAGATCTTGGTTTGACGTCACGGTGAAAGAAATTAAAAAGTTCATTGCAATTATGTTGAATATGGGTCTAATTCATAAGCAAAATATTGAATCCTATTGGGACACTTCTAAAACTCAAAGAACACCTTTCTTTCCTGAGATGATGTCATTGAAAAGATTCCAGCTCATCAGTTCTATGCTGCATTGCAACTGTGAACCAGCGATTCCTCGCGGACAACCTGATTTCGACCCTTGGCACAAAATTAGGCCATATATAGACGAATTAAATGGTAAGTTTAAGCAATTTTTGTGCCAAAACAGCCTATCTGCATAGATGAAAGCATAGTGGGGATGAAGAACAGATGTATTTATATACAATATATGCCTAACAAGAGGCACAACAGGTTTGGCATAAAAAAATTCGAAATTTGTGACAGCGAAACCTCTTACGTCCTCCATTCGGAACTGTACAGCGGTAAGGACTTTATGTCAGATGGAGATGACCCCTTAGCACAGAAGGTGGTTTTGGATTTACTTACAAAATGTAATCTCCTCGGTAAAGGGTACCATTTATTTACCGATAATTGGTACACTAAAATCCCTCTGGCACAAGCACTTTTAGATCAAAACACCTACCTGACAGGCACTGTTAGAAAGAAATCAAAGGGCTTATCTAAAAATCTGCTGCAGAGGAAACTTCAAGTAAGAGGGACTGTCTACTTTAGGAAAAATAACATCCTTCTTGTTGGATTTAAAGAAAAGAAAACCCGTAAACCAGTTTATTGTCTGACAACGGCGTGCCAAGCCGAAACCAAGCTTGTCAGGAGCAAAGGTGGAAGAGAGGCTGTAAAGCCTGTACTTATTGCCAAGTACAATGCTCACATGGGAGGGGTTGATACCAAGGATAAGACCATGTATCACTACTCTTGTGACAGGCCAACTAGACGCTACTGGAAAAAAGTGTTCGCAAATTTTCTAGATATGGCGCTTCACAATGTGTACATTTTGTACAAAGCCAACACCGACCGAGAACACATGAAAAATCACAGGGACTTTCTGATGAACATCATAGAGGATTTGTCCACTGACCAAGCCCAGCCTGATAATGTACCAGGTCCAGGTGGTGATGTCCTTGGACCTCGAGACATGAGTTGACCAAACTACCTGGAGAGAACAATCGCCTGTGTGTGGTGTGTCTGGACAAAAATATAAAAAGAAAGACCACCTATTGGTGTCCTGGCTGTAATGGGGGAATTCACCAGAATTGTTATCACCTTCTAGACCACTATTACAGGCCTACAAAAAAGGGCAGGAAGAGAAGGCATTCTAGTGATTCGGAGTGAAGAGAGTGATGAGTGACGTAACCGATACGTGTACATGTGTAAATAAACTTATGTAAATAGTGTGTATATGAAATTCCAAAAACAAACAGTGGCTTTTCTACAGGCAACCATTCCTGGGATTATCTAGGTATGTAATATAACTTGAGTATTTTATAAATTATTTCTTGTATGAAGTTAGACCTGAACGTTTTGCTTCAAGTATTCGTGCAGGTTGTACAACGAATGTGTATATAGTAATAAAAACCGTTATAAGTATTTTTTTTTTTAGGAACATAGGCTACATGTTCTATATATCATTCTCTTCCTCATGAAATTGTGCACAATTTGTATATTTTGAAAAATTATTTTCAGTTTATTGGTTTGAGTTATTGAACGGAATATATATGCATATAACTTAAATTTTAAAAAAATTCTGCTAAGTAAATATACAATTTTTTTTGTAAATCAAAATTTCATAGTCTAGGCCTATATAAAATTTATATAATATTATTCCTTGTTTTATGCTGGAAAAAAAGATATATAATATAATATATTTACAATCTTATTTACTGTTTAAAAAATGTGTTATAAAAAATGTTGCGCGACCCATTAAAACCCTTGCCACCACAGCATAAAAAGACCGCCAGCTTGAGGGTTAACTTACAAATAGGCTATAGGTAGGTAACTTTGGTCTAAGCCTATGATGGAGTCAGATTAACTTACCTATCAATTTTGTAAAAAAATTAAACTAAACTAACTTAGGTTTTACAAAAATAACTCAAGCCTAGGCTAAATAACTTATGCTACTTTAGGTAGCCTTAGATATTGAGCCCAGGATTGCCACCTTTGGTGAGGAAAAAATCGGGACATTGCCCTCCTCCCTCCAGGATTAACATACAATTAAAAACGGGCATTAAGGAACCAAAATCAGGACTGTCCCAGCAGAATCGGGACGGGTGGCAACCATGTTTGGGCCTGACATGGATTTCAGCGATAAAGCTAGAAAATTTAAGTACACATAGAGGCCTAACCTTATGATGTAGGCATACTTAGGCCTAGGCCTGTGTTTGGGTTTTAATAACTCAGGATTTTCCTATACCAGTATGGAAGCTTTACAACAATTACTAGAGGGGTTTAACTCCCTAAATTGGTATCAACTTTTCAAGAGGCCAATTAGATATTAGGAGGTCTACAATGTCGCCAAGGTAACTTAGCCTATGATAGCTTAAATAAATAATATTTTATTTTAAGGCCTAGGCTAGGTTCTAATCTTGTTACTTACTTTCTTTAAGTTTCTTCTTGAAGTTGGGGTCACTTCTTCTTTTCCGGTCAAAATATATACAATATCCAATAAAAAGAGTTGCAGAAGCTCCTGCTGCAAGGCCAAGTGCAGCTTTCAACGAAATCATTGTCATTTTCTACAGTTTTTTACTCAGACTTCAGACCTTCTAGCTGGTAAAAAGGAAAACTGTGATATTAAACACTGTTCCAAAATTCAGAAAAAATCAAATCTAGTTAATACAATAACAATTTATAACATTTAAATACATCGTCGAAAATATCACCACACGCTAAGCGTAGTCTGAAAGTCCAAAAGGGGGTGTTTGTTCGACGAACACTGTTCGTGTTGTTAATCGTGTTGTTGGATTGGATTGGATTGGACTTGACTTGATAGGAGACCTTGCCGTCAGGGTACGATGCCATAGCTTATAATGTCATAGCTTATAATTGCGAATATGTTGCATAGCTTATAATCTTGAAAATGTGGCATAGCTTATAATGGAAAATTTAAATTGTTCCATAGCTTATAATCGTAGAAATGTGGCATAGCTTATAACGGTTTTCTTAAAATGTGGCATAACTTATAATGGTATAGCTCAAATGTGCTGCAGCTTATAATATCTCATTTGTTCTATAGCTTATAATTTTAAAAACGTGGCATAGCTTATAACGCGCGGGAATTACGTCATAGCGGATGGGACAGCTGATCGATCCTGAGTAGACAAAAAAATTATCGTGCAATGGTCCTCAAATTATCGTATGGACTAGCAGCCGCTACTCGGCAATAAGAAGTTGCGTTAAGTGCAGCCAACGTAGCAAAACCAAAAGTATTTCAATTTTTTTCTACTCCTGGACGACATATGTAATAGATGTAGCCTATATATGAAATGGTTTTTTGTTGAATAATAGAATAACTTTTTGTATCTGCTGTTTTACTTTAATTACGTAAGCTGAAATATATTATCATAAGCTTGATGTTGCTCGTGTTGCTTATTTATGCTATGCATGATAACTATTGTATAATATTTATTTTGTAATATTGTGTAATACCGGTGTAAAAATACTTTTTCATAGATAAAACCGTAGACTATGCAACATAAGTAGACTTCTCATCCCATTGTTGATTTTGAAGCTTGTTTTTCGTGTCTAGTTCATGTATGTCGACACTGATCGCTAGTGTAAACGAAATATTGTTTCTATTATATTAGGGTAATTAATTTTAAGATTTGTGCTTTACGGTTTGGTTAGATAACTAGGAGACCAGTTATTTTTTATGATTAGATAGTTTTATTTGGTCAAATTAGTTTTAAATAACTGAAATAACAATCAAGAAACATATTGTAAAAAAAACACAACCTCTACAGTCGGCATAGAATATCAATAAAATTGCCTTCAGCTTTTCAACAAGGATGACAAATCTTCCAAGGGGCTTAATGTTTGATTTATGATCAAAACATATTTAGTAGATTTGTCATACTTATGGAACAGCTTAAGCCCAAATTATTGTAGTTTTATTTCTGTACGGTGCAATGTAGATTATAGAGGTCATGTTTTGTTTACAATTTGTTTATTATTATTTTACTGTTTACGCCTTCATTTAGCCAAATAAAACGATCTTCTCATGTAGCGGTCAGTGTCACAGGACAAGAACTAAAGTAGACACAAAAACCGAGATTTAAAATTTACAGTCAGAATTCTGTGTTTAAATTTAGAGTTTAGCAGATGTTCAGCATGTGACCTCTGTTAAGCTCTTGGGTATTTGCATTGATACAAAACTGACTTGGAGCCCTCATATAACCTTGGTTTGCAGTAAAATTTCCAGAGTTATCTTCCTCTTGAGAAGTCTAAAAAGTTGTCTAAATAAAAACTGTCTAAAAAAAGCCTATGTAGCTTTTTTTCAAGGAGTTCTTTTGTATGGGCTCAGACTCTGGGGTGGGTCTGCTGAAACTAATGATGTACTGCTAATAAAAAAAGAGCTGTAAGAATCCTAGCAAACCTGAGTATGATGCCCCTTTCAGACATCTCTTTGTAAATGAGGAAATCATGACTGTTTGTAGTTTGTATGTTTTTGTTTCAGTTGTGCATGTAAAAAATGATCTCCAGTCACTTATTTGTAGGGGTTATTATCATATGTACAGCATACAGCACAATTGAAGCCATAGAAAAACATGACATTTGCAAATTTTCCATACAATCTGTTTTGGAGTGTTGTGCAGTTGAAGCCTCACTAGCTAAACCTGTCTTGGTAGTGTGTATATACAGACCACCACACAATGATACAACAACTTTAAAGAAATTCTTTTAATATTCTAAATTCTTTGCTTTCTCATATTGTTAAAAAATATTCTAAGTAGGCTACAGTATATTTTTATGTGGAGATTTTAATTTTGATTTGTTCAAAAAAGAACCTCACACAGTGCATTTCAAATCCCTGATGGAATCTTACAGCATGTTTGCTATTATTTTACAACCCACTAGGATTACTAATGTTTCTAAAACCTGTATAGATAACGTGTTTACTAATGTAGCTTTAGACAGTTGTCAAACTTTAGTTGTAGATACTGACATCTCTGACCACACTTATCAGATTTTATCAACTAATATTAATTATAAAGTAAATAAAAAAAAAAAAACTGAAACCAAAAAGCGATGTTTTAAGAAAGAAAACATGTTAAAATTTCAAGATTCAATCAGTAATGAAAATTGGGATTCTTTATACTGCGCTAAAATCTCTGATCCTAACACTGCTTATAAACATTTTCTTGGTACTATATTCATGTATCATTATGAATTGGCATTTCCCTTGGTAAAGACAAAGAGCAAGGAGATAACAACAAAAAGCTGGCTAACAAAAGGCATTATAATAGCAAGTAGGAAAAAGAGAGAACTACATAAGTTGAGCAAATTATCAAATGATGTCAACTTTATCCAATATGTTAGATCTTATAAACTAATTTAAAAAAAGGTTGTACAGTGTGCTAAAATGAAGTTTAATAATAAAAGAATTAGTTGTGCAGAGAACAAAACTACAGTTGCTTGGTCAATTGTCAAGGAGGAAACTGGTAACAGGAAGCAGGATTTTAATTTTAATTTAAACGGAATCCAGAAATCAAATAAAATAATAAAAGACCCAAAAGTAATTGCAGACCTTTTTAATGATTTTTTCTTGCACACCAGTGAACAGCTTAATCTAATGGGAAATATGGATAAAGTGAATAAATATTTAACTAATGCTGGTACAAATTGTACTGACTTCTTAGATTGTTTTAAATTAACTACATCAAGTGAGATTAGGTCCATAATTAGTGAATTGAAAAATTCCAGATCCTCAGGATGGAATGGCATTCCCTCTTTAATTTTAAAAATTTGTAAAAACAGCATTGTTGAACCTTTGTCATACATCATCAACATATCTATTAATAAAGGCATATTTCCAGATTTACTGAAATATAGTATTGTTCGTCCAATCTACAAAAAAGGAGATAAAACACAGCTTGAGAATTTCAGACCAATATCCTTATTGCCAGTTTTCTCCAAGGTTTATGAAAAATTAATCTGTAATAGACTAGTACAGGGCATAAAATAACATGTTAAGTGTCGCCCAGTGCTGAGATTTTGTCGCCCAGTGGCTATGGGTGGTGCCGGCATATTTTTTTTAAATGATTCACATTTTAAATGTATCGGAATTTAAAAAAATAACATTAAGTAAATATTTTAGAGTATTGAGCTAGATTTTGGCCCAAGAGGTTGTGAAGGGAGCCTTGGCCTGTTACAACGTTCTAGAATACCTACGTAATTAAGTGAGATTATATGGACTATTTACAAGCAAATATAATCGAAAAGTGCATTACAAGATATGTAGAAATGTGTGATTTTCACTTAAATTTATGCAAACATTTTCGGGGGGGCCTCGGAACCCCATTTTTGATTGGGGGTATTCCATACCCCCCAGCAAGTCCGGCGTCACTGTCGCCCAGTGGAAATCACTTAAAATATGCTCTGGACTAGTATCATATCTTGAAACCATCAATATTCCTTGTAGTAATCAGTTTGGATTTAAAAGGGGTTGTAACACTTCAGATGCTCTCTTTGAGGTCTTGAATTACATAGCAAGTGCCGTTGATGGATCACAGTATGCGATTGGCATTTTCTGTGATTTGTCAAGGGCATTTGACTGTGTCAATCACAATATTTTATTGCACAAACTTCAGTTTTATGGAATTAGACAAAAAGCTTATGATTTGGTGGAGTCGTACTTGTTGGGTAGAAAACAAAAAGTTCAACTGAATTACTCTTAACTATTAAGGCTTCAAAAATGTCACTGAAGGTGTTTCCCAGGGTTCAATAATGGGTCCGTTGTTGTTTCTTATTTATGTTGATGACCTCTTGAAACAAAATCTTAAGTCAAAATTGGTAATGTATGCTGATGATACTACTGCAGTATTAAAAAATAAAAACCCTGATATTTTAGAAATTGAAATTAAAAATGATCTTGATCTTATGACTGAATGGTTTCTGGCCAATAATCTTAAACTTAACAGAAATAAAACATATTGTGTGAACTTCCATTCTAATAGCATAAAAAGTAGACAGATTGACTATAACCCATTAGAAGACACATTAAGTAAAATTCAATCTTGCAACCTTTTAGGAATAAAATTAGACTCAACTCTAACATGGTCTGATCATATAAATCAATTGGAATCTAAGCTTAATGCAGCATTTCACGTTACTTTAGTGCTTTCAAAATTAATAGATGAAAAAAACTCAGATAATGGTATACTTTGCATATGTGGACTCTAACATTGGCTATGGTATTGAGTTCTGGGGAAATGCCACTGACAGTAAAAAAATATTTAAAATACAAAAGAGAATTATAAGAGTTATTGCACAAGTTAATCCAAGAACATCTTGTAGAAATTCATTTAAAAGAATGAAGATTTTACCTGTGCCCTCTTTGTATATATTCAACACTTTAATCTTTGTCAAAAAACATTTTTCTATTTATGAAGAAAAAAGAAGTAACTCCCAATACAGCTTTAGGCCCATGAGCTCTGTGTTGCAGTACCCCACACATAAATCTGCTGCTTATGAAAAGAGTACTTTTTATATGGGTCTCAAACTGTATAATAAGCTTCCTTTATCACTGAGAGAGGTAGAATCATTTAAAAAGTTCCTGTTACACTTACTGTCTTACCTGTTAGACAATTGTTGTTACAGAATTGAGGATTTTTTATTAGTCTGATTGTAGTAAACATAACTTATAGAAATTGATATAACTTATTTGTAAACTTTGATAACAACCTAACTTATTTTATACTTGTTTTTCA